CGGAGATGACCGTGTTGCAATTTTTTATTGGATGACAAGTCATAAGATGACGCTAAATATATGTACAAATGTTGCATGCACAGACATACGTTGAAGAGTTGCTGGTGTTCATATAACCAGTTTTTTGCGCTTGCGCAATGATGTCAACTAGAACATGCATATTAGCAATACCAGAAGCTGATATGAAGCGCTGATGCTCGCGAGGATGCTGGCCCTCCACACTGCTACATAAATCAACTTCAGCGCTTGGCAACTAACCACATTTGAGGTTAACCCGACATGACGGCTGTATCAAAGGAGTACATATGTAATGTTGATAAAATTGGATAGGCTGCACTGCAACCCCTATTGACGTTTCACCAAGATTACCATATATTTGAAAAGTATATAGTTCCTAGACCCGGCATAGCTCTGTGTAAAAAGGCTTGATTGCCACGCAGAATGCTTGGGTTCGAACCCTGCCGGGACCCTGACGTTTATTATTTGCATTCGTCGGGTCGACGCTACCGATGTCGTGTATTTCTTAACGCTCGCGTGTTCAAATTGTCCATGCGTGTTCTCGTCATTCCTGGATAGATACTAAGTGTCGATCCCCTGTGGCACATGCCTGCATACCAGCGGTACATACCCACCCGTGGGTATGTGCCACTGTCTGGCGTAAATGTGTTTGACGATGCATGCGAGGAATTGTGAAATTATTCATGTCTTGACCAGCGTGTCACACTTGCCAAACTATCTTACCCTCCACTACTAATTTTGGTTCACGCCAAGTTAAAGGGGTGATCACGAGAGCTCCCAAACGTAAGCGGCTAGATAAATAGATTGGTAGATAGATAGATAGATAGATAGATAGATAGATACGCTCTAAGTCGCTGAAGTTCGCAAAGAAATGCTTCGCATTTAAAAGATGTCGGGTCTTTTAGGTGTCAAAAGTACGGTATATTTACGAGCCAAGGCATAGCGAGAGGGGTTGACTTTGACCACCTGGGGTTCTTTAGCGTGCACCCATACCTTCTCCGACTGATGCAGTCGATCCCCAACTCTTTGCTATACGACGTCCTAATTTGGAGACGCAATCTACTTTTGCCATTTCAGTGCAGTGTTGGAAAGATTGAGCCCACAAACACTGAGTTAGGGTAAGTTAAGCGTTCTTAGTGTCTAAAATTTCCTTGGATCACATCTGGTTGCAGTATTTGCTTCACACAATGATGACTATCGGTAGAATGTACTCTTGCGGTATTCAAAGTCATGTATTGACTTAAACCGCAGCGCAATAGAGGGGACTGAGAAAATACACGGCGCTGTCATGTTGCCAAGTTATGTTGCATGACAGAGGTGGGGAGGGTGGAGGGATAAGCTCTGGTGTGGCTTTTTTTTTGGGGGGGGGGGTCAAGATGTGGCTTAAGATGGTCAGCGACATATTTTGCACCCACCTGCTGACGCCCTGCGCACGATCACTTAGGCGGAGGTGGTACAATGTTTGACTACACGTGGTACGAGGAGTGTTCTGGCAGGAATTTCAAATTATATTCTCTTAGGCTCATTTACCAGCGCAAAAAAGACGGAACATTTAGAAAAGACACACACACACACACACACACACACACACACACACACACACACACACACACACACACACACACATGCACACACACACACACACACACACACACACACACACACACACACACACACACACACATGCACACACACACACACACACACACACACACACACACACACACACACACACACACACAGCACTGTTCTGTTTTTTCGCGCTGATAAATTAGTCTAAATTATTATGAACCAACTCGCCCAAGCAACAGTTTTAGCGAAGTATATTTTCTTACTTTTTTAGGAATGTTGGTTGCCAGCAGATAAATACCTCGTTTACTTCGAGTGACTCGTTGAATTTGTGAGGAAATGTAGCATATCTCGTTCAATAAAGAGATAAATATTCACATTGTGAATAAGAATCGTTGCTCTAAAACACACTATAATTTACCATAACACTACCACCTCCTTTAAAATTGCTCTCCATAACTTTGGCGTGCGGCACATTGTACCAATTTACTCACAGTTGATCAGAATACGAAACAAAGCTGAAAGGAAGGGACTGAATGTGTCCCGGGATGGTTAAAGACGTAACCCACGTAGACGAAAAAATAAAGGGACAAGATAGAGAGTCATGGCAACGTCGGGAAGTTTTCACCTGTGGGCAAGCAGTTCATTATCCCGAGTGAGTAAAACATTCGTTAAAAAAATGGGAAGATTCCGCGCTTTCTGGCAGTTGATGTAATTTGAAGCAGCCATGGAGCAAGAAGCTGCATGCATCACTGCGAATGTATTTCAGTTAAGGGAAGTCACTCATGTCATGACATGCAGTGCACATCGTATCATTGCCATACATGCATGTACAGGTGGCGGGATCGAATCCCGGCTGAGGCGGCTGCATTTCCGATGGAGGCGGAAACGATGTAGGCCCGTGTGCACAGGTTTGGGTGCACGTTGAAGAACCCCAGGGGGTCGAAATTTCAGCAGCCCTCCACTATGGCGTCTCTCATAATCATACGATGGTTGCGGGACGTTAAACCCCACTTATCATCATCATCAACATCATCATCATCATCATCATAAACAACAACAGCGTCATCATCATCATCAACATCATCATCATCATTATCATCAATCATCATATCATGCATGCATGTATGCAAAACACAATTGAAACAAACATTGCATGACTTGTCATTTATATTCGTCACGCACACATGTCATGTCATACAAATCTTGTGCTCAGTTAACAAAACGGCTAAAAGTGCACCGGAACAGTGTTATCGAAATAATGCCGTATATGACAGGCAAGGCATCAGTTGCATGTCACCAACTTGCATTTTCGTTCATTATAGATTCACGTCCGCAACACTAATTGACGTGTATATCAAGCTAGCGAACGGCCGTAAGCGCAACATGAGCGGGGCATGCAACTCATACCGTAAATGACACGCCCATCATGATTTTCAGGTTACCACCTGTCATTTATGTTCGTCATTACAGTCATGTCAAACTATACTGGGTTTGGTGTACATCAAGCTACCGAAACGACCGCCACAACACCATAAGCGTGACCTTGATTGATATGTGAGGTTTAACGTCCCAAAAACCACCATATATATGATAATGAAAGACGCCGTAGTGGAGGACTCCGGAGATTTCGACCACCTGGGGTTCTTTAACGTGCACCAAAATCTGAGCACACAGACCTACAGTATTATCGCCTCCATCGAAAATGCAGCCGCCGCAGCTGGGATTCGATCCCGCGACCTGCGGGTCAGCAGCAGTGCCTTAGCCACTAGACCACCGCGCCGGGGCCATAAGCATGACATGCAGGTCATGACCTACATATTATGCATGTAATGGTTTTCATGCTATTACCTGTCATTTGTGTTCTTCATACAGACACGTCACGCAACATCATTTACGGCGTTAACCAAGACAGCGAAACGGCTGCCCGTGCACCTTAAGCGTGACTTGTTAGTTACGACTTAGACGACATGCATATCATCATATTCACGTTACTCCCAGTTATTTATATTCGTCCAATAAAAGTGTATCGTCATACCTGTTTTGTTATATATCGATTCAATTATTCGTCACCGAGTGACCCGATACCATGACATGCGAGTTATGCCTTACATCACATGCATGCCTTTTATAGCAAAACATAAGGCTCATTAGGGCCAGTAACTTACGTTCGTCATACACCCATGTCACGCCTCGTTGATCTTGTTTGTATGTGAAGTTAAGAAAGCAGCCGCAAGATCACCAAGAGCGTGAAGTGAAAATCATGCCGTTCACAGCAATATTAATATGCGGTGTGTTACTTCACGAATCCACGATATGATTATGAGGGACGCCATAGTGAATGATCTGGAAATGGAGCATCTGCTTTTAACATGTAGTCACGTTTTTCATGACATGTATATCACGGTTTTCATGTCATGATGTGTCGTTCATGCTCGTCAGAGGGTCATGTCATGCCGTGCCGATTTCGCTATGCATCTCACTAATGAAACAGTCACGAGAGCACACAGTCGTAGGCTAATAATAATAATAATAATAATAATAATAATAATAATAATAATAATAATAATAATAATAATAATAATAATAATAATAATAATAATAATAATAATAATAATAATATTATTATTATTATTATTATTATTATTATTATTAGTAGTAGTAGTAGTAGTAGTAGTAGCAGCAGTAGTAATAGTGAAAACCTTTATTGACTACAAGTTTTGTGGGCAAGTGGGCGAGAGTTTGCCGTTCTTCTCACCAAGATAATATGAACTGGAATTATCGAAGTTTTTTGACGCCTTAGTAACCAAAATTGGGTGTTAGCGCCCGTCGAGAATTCCACCTTCAATATCCCAGGCTGAAAACTGAGAACGTCTTCGGCGCACTGCCGCAACCATAGACTATTCAGTCGATTTTTCAGAGCGTGCATGATGATGATGATGATGATGATGATGATGATGATGATGATGATGTTCATCTTGCATTGGTGGCACTCGCCCTCAGAGGGGAATCGGCCAAAAACTGTGAGGCAGGATATTTGGGTTTGTTGGTTATGTATTTCAAAGCATCCAATGAAGTTTCAGTAAAACACAAGACAAATCGTAAATGTTGTACGAAAATGCTACACGAGCTAGCAGTGAGGCAATAAGATAGAGTCGGAGCGAGAAATAATAGCATCAATAGGCTAACAAGGTAATCTTTTTGTTTCCACTATGTACGCACACACAGCAGAACAAACCTCCCTGTGTCTATAACCTAATGTAATTCCTCCAAAGGATAAAATTACTGTCGCGTTTATTTTCATATAGGCGTGGCACAGTAGCAGCGCGTGCTACCGCGAAAAGAAGAAAACCTCGCTCGCGTGACACCCGTTTCCTGTGGCCCAGAAGAAGATGAATAGGCAGCCAAGCAAGATGTCCCTGCAGAGCATGGCCACAGAGAGGAGCACTTGGAGAAGCTTGAGCCTAAGAAGAACCGAGATGGCTGGCGTTGACGAGCCTCCCTTCGGCGACGGTCGCGTACAGCTCGTGAGCCTTCTCAACGCAGCGATCGCGGCGGCGGTGTACATACTGCACTACGAAAGCTTCAGGATCACCGCGGGCGTCATGGACCACTGGTGCAGCCGCCCCGAGGAATTCGGCAACCTCAGCGTCACGCAGTGGAAGGAGCTGGCCATTCCCATCGACGAGAACGGCGTGTACAGCCGCTGCACCGTACGCGAACCGCCTTTCGGCGTAGCGAACAACCACGTCGTTCCCTGCGCTTCGTGGGAGTTCGACCTGGACAAGTACGGAAACAACATAGTCAGCGAGTGGGCGCTGGTATGCGACCGAGCGTGGCTTATCGTGCTGGCCAGGCTCGCCTACGCCGCCTCCTGCATCGTCTCCACGCCCCTGGTGTCCAGGCTCGCGGATCGCGCCGGTCGCAAGCTGGTCGTTTTCGGCACCATTCCGGTGGTTCTCATCACGGGCGTCGCGAGCAGCCTTCCGAACAACTTCCAGTTCTTCGTCATCGTCCGCGCCGTGGTGTCAGCGGCGACGAGCTGCACTGTGCCACCGCTGCTCGCAATCCTCTGGGAAGTGAGTCCGCCGCGCAAGGCGCCCTTGTACTGCGTCATCTCAATTCTGGTCACGTTGGTCGTCTCCGACAGTGCGGTGGCCGCCGCGGAAGCGCTCAAGACCGGCTGGGCCACGCTTCAGCTATTCCTCATGGTGCCGACGTTCCTGCTTGTCGCCCTGTACTTCACTTTAGAAGACTCTCCCAGCTGGCTCGTTGCCACAGGCCACGCGGTAGAAGCTGAACGGGTGTCGGTGCATCTGGCCAGGTCCAACGGAGTGACCATGACCCGCTGCCGTGAACTGTTTGCCCTGCAGTACAAGACGCAGCAGCGTGATGAGGAGGAGGCGGTAGAACAGACCAACGCCTGCGGCCCGCGCCTCAGAGGCCGTACCGTTCTCATTTTGTACATGTGGACGGTGTTCGCCTACGTGCACGACAGCTACGTCACCAACGACGGAATACCCGTGAGCGGCCCGGTGAAGCTTATCGCCGCCGTCAGTTCCCTCACCGTGTGTCTCTTGTTCACACGCTGGGTGGTTCAGTACGGCCCCAAACGCACCGTTGTTGCCAACGGGCTCCTCTTCAGCGCCTCGTTGGCCGCCACTACTGCCACTTCAGCGAACGATCAGATGGTCCGCAACGTCCTAACTGTCGTCACAAGAGTGAGCAGCTACAGCCTTCTCTTGAATTTCAGCATGCTGACCCTCCAGCTGTACCCTGTCACTGCACGTTGCGTCGCCATGGCCATTGCTATCGTCTCCAGCCGAGTGGGCGACACCTTGGCGCAGACAAGCACCACTCTCATTGGGCCTACTTGGCATACGGGCAACGGTCTTGTCATCGCCGCTGTGACCATGGCACTATTCGTGATAGCCGGCGAGTACCTTCCAGACGAGAACAAGACGAGTGCTTTGGCCGTGTCTTTAAGTCGCAGGCGCAGCTCGGCAGGTGAAGAACTAAGGCGAGCTTTTAGAGATACTCTCAAGCCGCTGCAAATGAAACGCCCGAAACCGAGTGATAAGAGGCCGCGTAAGAATTAATGTAATATTCGGCGTCGATGAATTTGGTGTGCCCATCATCTCCTGCACACGATATTTGAAGACGTCACTGCAGCCGAATTTTCACCTTTTTTCTTCTTTCGCGTTTCGCAATTCCCGCTAATCACATAAAGGTTGCTTGAACATTCCTAACCACAACCGAACTTTTTTTTTGTTTCTAGAAATGTATTTGCCTACACTAGTGGCGTGGAAACATTTATTTTCTAACATCAATTGCACTCGAAGGACGTTGAGCCCCACTGTTCACTCTCTATTAGAAGAGCCGAGTAAAGTTCCAAAAGCGTATAGTTAAATAAATTCGGCAGATCCCACGTACTATTGGAGTTTATCTCATGCGAAGTTTGCGGAAGGAAGGTCACTGGGATGTATTTTTGTTGTTGAGCGGAACGTTATACGGAATGACGCTAAGTATGCGTACAAATGGTATACGCACAGGCATGCATGTTGAACAGTCGCGTATGTTTCATACAAATAAGCTTCGCCTTGAATAAGCTTCACCTTAAGCTTCGCCTTGAAGAGTTCAACGCGATATCCTGTACCCAGTACGTATTTCGAAATCTTAGTGCATTAAATCTTTTCGAATTTTCTATGCACCTACTACGTGACCTAAAGGGAATACGCGCAGTGGCGTGTGTGTTTTTCGTAGAGGGTTTCCGGCTTTATACCACGAAATCGTCATGATAATCACAAGGTCTGACCCCCTATGGATCCGCTGGCTTGTATAACGTGTTATTACTGGAATATTTCATGTTGTATTGCGAAACATGTATACAGGGCGTGTGTGTTCGCAAAGTATGAAAGTTACTTTCACTGCAATTGCAAGCGGAGGAAGTTATCTTCACTGTATTCTCGCGCAGACGGGGGAATGCAGTGAGAATAACTTCCTCTGATTGGAAATGCAGTGCAAGAGCCACTTTGGTATTACCCACACCAGAAGCGGTAAGCTGAAATGTAGCACTTGTAAATTAAAGAAACAAAACTGGTATCCCTGGGTAGGGCTACGTGGACAATCTTCAGTGGATGGCACTTAACTACAATTGAGTAACGCCTGCATTATTGGAATACAAATGTAATGTTTAAAAATTTTAATGGGCAGCTCTACAACCACAACTGACGTTTTACCAACTTGATGAGGTATTCTTCGATAGACGTTCCGAGGACTGGCGTGGCTCTATCGTAAAATACTTGATTGCCACACACAGTGCTATAGGGTTCGATTCCTGCTGAGACACTGGCATTTATTTTTCGCATTAATCGGATCAACGCTGCCGATGTCAGCTGTTTGTTTACGCTCGCACGGTGCAGCTGTCCATGTGTGTTCTCGCCGTTCCTGGGTAGATGAAAAGTGTCAATCCCCTGTGGCACATACCCGCATACCAGTGGAACATACCCACCTGCGAGTATGTGCCACTGCCTGGCGGAAGGTGCTTAACAACGTACGTGGTGAGGTCGTGACATCATTCATGTCATGACGAGCGAGTCGCATTCGTGAAACCATCTTACCCTTCCATTACACTAATTTTGGTTTACCACAAATTAAAATGGTAATCACGAGAGTACCCAGACATTTTATTGGCTATTCCCATGCCCCATCATCACCTTCAACATTATTTTCCCCTTTTTAATTTCTCCTGCGCAGAGTAGAGTTAACTCTGCGTGGCCTCTCAAAAACTGATTGATTGATTGATATGTGGGGTTTAACGTCCCAAAACCACTCTATGATAATGAGAGACGCCTTAGTGGAGGGCTCCGGAAATTTAGACCACCCCTCTCAAAAACTATCATCCTCATAAAAGAATATGTGTCACACAAATTGGGTAAATCCAACTGTACACAACGTGAACTGCGCAAAGCTTCCGGGGTAGCTTGCTGTCTGCGTATACACGTTGAACCGCCTCATGCCGCGCTCTTGCCTCCGGAGTAGATGCTTCTTGTCGGCGTTGCTGCTTTGGGTTGCGCGCGGAGACCATTTTCACGTTCGTTTTCTTCCGTGGAAAGAATAGTATATGTGGTCTGCCACACGCTTATACTGCATCGTAGTCAGCGTCATAGCCATCGTCATGATGTATAGTGGATACCCGGCATGTGCTGTGTCGTGATGGCAGAAAGAGAATGTGTGGTCTGAAATGCACTTATTCTTCATCATCCTCATCTACATCGTCATGACATTTAATGGGTACCGTGCATGTGCCGTTCCGGACAACGGACAACACAGAGCGGACAAGCCTAAATCATATGATGCTTTACCCCATGAGAGCGGCGTGAAGTCATGACTAGTCATAACATGAACAATAATGACATGCATTACATGATTTCCGCGTTAGGGTCTGCCATTTATGTTGGCTATGCAGTCATGTCATACCATACCATGGTTTTGCACAATGTTATGTGAACTAAACCACCGCAAGAGCAGCAAGACAATGAAATGTAAATTATGAGATTCAGGACATACATGTCTTGATTTTCATGTTATGACTAGTCAAATATGCTCGTCATACAGTCATGGTATGCCATATCAATTTTGGTATCGGTACCGTTATCGAGACGGGCAGGAGAGTTAAAAGTCGTAGGCTGATAGATAGATAGATAGATAGATAGATAGATAGATAGATAGATAGATAGATAGATAGATAGATAGATAGATAGATAGATAGATAGATAGATAGATAGATAGATAGATAGATAGATAGATAGATAGATAGATAGATAGATAGATAGATAGATAGATAGATAGATAGATAGATAGATAGATAGATAGATAGATAGATAGATAGATAGACAGACAGACAGACAGACAGACAGACAGACAGACAGCCAGCCAGACAGACAGACAGACAGACAGACAGACAGACAGACCTTTTTATAGTCATTAGAGGTGACAGGAAAGTCTCTTTACGGGGAGGAACCACTGCGGGCAGCTCCCACGACTGAAAAGGCAAACGGTGCCTGACCGCTACGCCGTGGGCCCTCTGGACGGGCCGTAACTGAGCGGCGACGTTGGATCTTTTGAGCGCCTTCTTCCACTCTGCTTTCGTGGTGAGACGATTGTCTTGTTGTTACAAGGGACTTCACCAGAGCATGTGATCTAAAGTGGAGGAAGGAAACCCGCAATCCGGACAATCGGGTTCGCATATAGGACCCGAAGGCCTGCATTAGACACATGCAATGTGTATGTGTGTACATGTCCCGACACGCTCGTTGTTTGGACTTGCTCAGTCACGTGCACGAGCGATGGATCGCCGGGCAGTTTCTTTTTCTTACGTATACAGCGTAAACGAAGCTCTTGTGACGCCATCTATAGATAACACCCAGCGCATCGTGCCAACACCGACAGCTAGGTTTCGTTGAGCTGGAGGTTACTTTCGTTATCGAGCCGATACAAGCCCTTTTCAGTTTATCGGAACATGCATGCACATCGACCTGATGAGAGCACTTGAAAGGAAATCTTGTTTCTGTCGCCTGGCGCGTTGAGAGGCGCCAGCAGTAGTTCACCGTGTCTTCACTTTTCCGCCTGCCCACATAGAAAAAAAAATTTTCCGGCAAAATTATGCCTTCGACATCCACAAAGTTTCAACCACTCCCGACGTCGGATACCACCGCGACATTCCAAGAGATTGATCGCGACTATCTTTGTGGAGTGTTCAATTTCAGGCCGCGATGGATGCAGCGATTTGCCAGAACCCAGTATTTCCTTGTGTGCTACATCATCTACGGAGTGTTACAGGGAGCTCTGAAGGCTTACCTCAACGGGTGCATCACCACCATAGAACGCAAATTCGCGCTCACCGGCAAAATGTTCAGTGTCATACTCATAGCAGACAACGTGAGTTCCCTGTTCGCCTGCCTTTTGATAGGTTACTACGCCCGAAAAGTGAGTAGAATAAAGATGATAGTGTTTTCCGTGTCAATGACCGTACTGGGATGTGTGCTGGCGGCCCTACCACACTTCATCTACGGACCCGGTTTCATCGGTGACACCAAGGTACAACTTCAAGGAGAAGATCTTCAAGGAGAAGATCAGACTTCCCAGGTGATCTTGGACACTACGAAGGAGTTCTGCAGCCGTACTGACGACAGCGAAGCGTCCGTGGCTGGAGACCAGTCACCAGCAGCGATTGCCATACTTGCCGTGTGCATTCTCTTTATTGCGAATTTTTTCAACGGCTTCGGCGGAGCGGGCTTCTACATATCGGGCACCACATACACAGACGACAATGCTAAGAAGACAGACTCAATTGTCTACTTTAGTGAGTTATTTATTTTTCACTATTGCTTACTATAGTGAACGCTTTGCCACTTTCTCGGTTAGTAATAAACATTGGACAGTAGCAAAAGAAATCTTAAAACACTCACAATTATTTTTGAGAAAGTATTCAAAAAAACTTCTCATGCTAAATATTTTCATGAGATAATAGTTCAGCCAGTCACAATTCAGGGCATGGTAGTGAAGAGTGCTGACCACTAGTAAAATGCACTTGCGAAATAATAAAAAAAAACCTCTGTGAATTCAGCCCCTGATGTTATGGGTCCATCTAGAAACTAGTAAAGCACAAAATTTGTTTGAGATATAAACAGTGAGTAGTCTTATTTACCTGAGAAACATTCTTCCACCTCCAAGATTATCCATAGTGTTTCCCGATGGAGTATTTACCGAACTGCGAACACGCAATCGATGGCAAAGTAACGAGTCTAAGTTACCGAAATTTAACGAGGCATACAGTGTCTGTACCTTGCTTGTCTATACCTTACTGCAGGCTTTGTATTTTCACTGCGATTCCTGGGCCCGATGCTTGGATATGTCATGGCGTCAGTGTGTCTCCGAATCTATGAGTCACCGTTTGGTAAGTACATTCAACGTTGCTCCAAGAGCGAGACCGTTTGATTGAGTCTATTCACTAAACTTCCAGTACCTGCCTGCTGACTTCTCATCTGGTTACGTTGGCAGAAAAGTTTCGTCGTTGCAATCAATCAATCAATCAATCAATCAATCAATAAAATGTTCAACAACAGTTTGCGTTCCTCAGGCGAAAGGCCACTTCACCCTTTGAGACGATATGTACACTTCTCGCTATTTGCATCCAGTAGAGGCTAAGAAAGAGTAAGATATATCCCTCATTAGATAAATCGAACCTCCTGTATAATACATTTGTTTTCTTCAAACTTAATTTTGAAGTGTACTGACACATGTGATTGCTTTTCTGAAGGGACTACCACGTTCGACGAGTCGTTCGACGTGCCGCTTTCTGCAAGCAATGTGAAAAGCAGAATTTTTTTTTTGCTCACAACTGACGTAACCAAATATGAATTTTCACTATATTTATAGCCCGTCATGAGATTCTGTTTATGACAAAAGTAAGCATCAATCTCTTCAGGATAAACAGATATTTAGTTGCAACTTAATTAAAACAAGTTACTACAACACCCGTATATTCAACAACTATCTCATTCTTATTGTACGCGAATATTGAGTGTCTTCGACACATGATTCGACACATTTACAGGCAGTTCTCAATAGTTGGTGTCTGAAAGGGCTAAAAGTTGTACGTTGGAACCACTTGAACCACTTAAGCGAGAAGTAGCAAAATATGAGCCTGCTTTCCAATGGAAACACCTTGTAAATGCAGTGTTTGCAGTTCCATTCTGCCAATGATGATTGATATGTGGGGTTTAACGTCCCAAAACCACTATATGATTATGAGAGACGCTATTCTGCCAATGAAATCAACCACATACTTGCCTTTGATTTGAAGCTGAAGAGCATACTTGTAATCTCTACTCGTTATCATCATGATCATGGTGAACCTGACTGTGTTTATTGCAAGACAAACGCCCCTCCCATGTGAAGCTAAACAGCCCGGTCCTGGTATTCCACCTGCCATGTCATCCCAGCAAAGTTCTTTATTTCATCCGGCCACCTAACTTTATGCCTGTCTGCTCATACCTTCGTAATTATTTACTGTGATAAACTGCTTAGGCTTTAATAAGTAGCAATATGATTCGTTAAACTGCAATATGAACGTCCGCTCAACAGACAGAGTTCGCAAATTCAGCCCCTCTCTCGGAAGACGTTACATTGTGCGTAGCTAACATTTACCGTCTAAAATAGATGTGCTTTGTCATAATGCATGAATCAATTATGTATTTTTTTATTTCATGGCATTACGAAACGTTACTTTTATAAGTGCGTATTACAAACATCTATGTTCTTCTCTCATAGAGACTCCAAGCATCACGCCGAAACATCCGAAATGGATTGGAGCTTGGTGGCTCGGCTTCATCCTCTGGGGTATATCCCTCTTCATCATTTCGCTGCCGATGTCTCTCTTTCCCAAACACATTAAGAGACAATCGCAATCACCCGAGAAGCAAGAGATGCAAAAGGTATCCTCTATGGACACGACTCCCGACTCGATCCGAGAGAAGGTTGTCGGTGATTTTGCAGGTACAGTGCTTCATATGTATACGTTTTGCGAGTGCAGTGCTTCACATATGCTCCTACTTGCATTCGCCTGAACTTGAAGCGCATGTACCCGTATATGTACACATGAATCCACTACTTAAGTAAACGCTTGCGTGGAGTGCCTATGCAGATTTTACTCTCTTGGAAAAACGCAGGGGCTTAGATTTGCATATGACGACTGCTATAGTTGCAAGTTTTGAGTCTTTGACAGACTAGAGCCGTGCACGAACCATGTTTTCCCGTCCATTTTCAGTTAATGAGCCAGCAGTATGAAATGTGCTCATTCGAGCGTCCCCTTTTAACCGTACTGCACAGAAGACTGCACGCAAACATGCTGATACGTGTCATATAAATCGTACGTTGGCAAATGGTTGTCTTTAGAGTGGACGCCAATGAAGGGCCGCCCATTATCCAGGAGACCTACAATGAAAAATTAAACACATTTAATTTTCCCAGGTATTTAGTTGAGTGTGTGTGGGACCAATACACTAATAGCAAGCCTGTAGTATCGAAATATTGAAGAGTTGGCAATACATACATTATTCATCTAGCTCCCTCAGTTCGCGTGTCAAAAGTGATTTAATAACAGGGCGATGAGTTGTCGTGATAGCTGCTTCCTTCGTTATGTAGCCGCGTTTACGTTGTTGTTTGATTCTGCACTGAAATTCAACATAGTAAGGTGGCAAATTTGCAGGAAGGTTAGCTCTTATAAGTTATCGACCGCAGGCCATCAGCGTAAGTCACTTTGTCGATTTGCTGTTCCTTTATTCACCTATTCACCTATTTATCTATTCGTCTAGTCTCGTACAGTGTCGAAAAATTATGAGTTAACCGATATAGCCTACTTTTGTTTGTGACTTACTTTTAAACACACTGGAAGTGTACAGGCTACAAACGTTCCGCTGCAATCAATTCTGACAATGTATACATGCATATAATGCAGTGAAAGTATATTGTGGTGGGAAGACCTGAAAGAAGGATTGCCGCTCGAAGTCTTTCTCAAGAAAATTTAAATGTCCAGGATAATTATATTGTCTTGACTTTTACATGCCGAAACCAAGGCATAACACGCCGTAGTAGAAGGCTCTGGTAATTTTGACCATATCGTGTTCTCCAACGTGCACTGCCATTGCACAGTACACAGGCCTGTACCGTTTTGCCTTCATCGAAATGCAACTGCCATGGCCGGCATCGAACCCGTGACCTTCGATTCCGCAGCAGAGCATCGTAACTCCTCTTCCATCGTGGTGCACTGAGGTCAAGTCAAGGTGGTCACGGATATATGCCAAGAAAAGTCGTCATCGTCAATGTAGTAACGAAACCCGTGACCTTCAACAAGCGTAACCACAGTTCCGCATAGTGAACTGCGTCGTGTCGAAGGTCACGAATATATGCCAAGAGAAAGCGGTTAAATTATTAAAAGGGAAAAGCTAAGAGGTTGCCTTGAATCAATTTTCTGACCAGGTACTCATCATTAGCTAAGGAAAGGTAAAGAGAGTAGAGAGAAGAAGATGATGATGAAAGCGATGATGGATCGAAACCTCGAAAGCTAAAAAACTTTCAAGTCTTTTTTTGAGTTCTGTTTCTCACAAAAACTTCATGAGAGCTTTGTAAACATTGCGTTCATGACGACGTGCAGGGCCCGAAAGTTTTTTTTTTTGATACTTGTTGCTTAACAACATGCAATAAAAAGGTGGCCATCGATTTCATTTGTGTGCTATGTGTCACTGCGGTGACCATTGAACACCTTTTGTGCGTGTGCCAAGAAAAGCTGTCATCGTCAAGGTAGCACCGAGGACCATTACCCATTTTCAAGGCTTCGCCTCCAGAGACATTTCACATTCGAGCAATTCTCATCACTTCAAGACTTCATATTCCCATGTAGTTCTGCCTTGTTCCTACTTGCACATAGTGAAGTGTTACATGTGAGTGAAATGTGATCCATATTTTAATGTTTATTTTACTGACATCTTCTCACATTCTTATTTCGGGCAGAATTTCGAAGGTCGATCGCAAGGCTGTGCAAGAATCCTGTGCTTATGTGGAAGATGGCAACCATCATGTTCGTCTTCAACGGTACTGGGGGCTACATTACCATGTTCCCCAAGTACGTCGAAATCCACTACAGGGTTTCGGCCGCAAATGCCAGTCTCTTCACAGGCGAGTAAATATTTCTATGTCATCCTTGTCTCCTCCGGTGAAAACTTGCAGTAGAAATATTTTAATATACATAGATGAACATGTCAGAACACTACGCAGACAAAATTTTTAACACGTATGTAGTTTAGCTGATAAGAGGTAAATCGACTCATCGCTTCGTCTGTTCCTGTCATGAACATTGACTCCCCTACAATTGGTTGATTGCTCACAGAATGTTCATAACATATATGCTTACAAAACGTTAACATAAATGTCATAGAATATTAACATGGTCTTCATAGAATTATCAGGAAGTTTAGCTTCATTCTCGAAAGAAAAGCACCGTACACCAGTACTTTTTGCATACACGAACTCTCGGACTCTTTTTGACACGAGAGTGTTTTATGTTGGGGTCCACCAAGAATTCAGTGACGTACTTCCGTCACGGAAATGACGTCTAAAAATAACACGCTAAAAGACAGAAAAAGTTCAGTTACGGGAGTCGAAACCACGACGTCTTGATCGGCGACAAAAGCGGCCGGCCATGCTATACACCACGCCACCACCACAATTTTTTTTTTTGCTTTATTGCGACATGTAACATTCAAACAACAGTACGCAAAGTCCAACTAAGCTTCAAGCTAAATGCTATGGCTTCAAGAAAGATGATCAATTTGCCACACACTCTTAAAATGATTTCAAGTGACATAATTCTTTCATAAAGTTTAGCAGTTCACCACTGTAGAAACGTCTTGCAAAGACTTCTTGCAACTTGCGCATATGTTTAATAAAATAGCGCGCCACCACCACATTCTTTGCAAGCTTTGAAAACATGCCTTTTGTATCTAAATAACCGATTACTTCCTTCAGCGCGTCGTTTCTACGTGTCTGTCATGTTCAGGGTGTTTCCAGTAGAAGTGTAATTTCGCCAACGCCTTTACACACTGCAAGGTGCACACCTTGCTCAAAACGTCAACGTGGCTCGTAGTATCCATTCATACCAAATATAGTTCTTCAATGCATAGAACATTGAGTATAAGCGTTCCCCGCTTATACTCGTCAGGGAAGACACAACGCTCATTGCGTCTCCGCGAGTAGGGCGCGCAATCGACCCAAGTGTGGCGCGCAATCGATCATACTTTTCTAGCTGTCACACCACTTTCATTGGTTCCACTATCCCCCTCAGCTACTACAGCTAGCACAGCCATCCATGACCACTAGGACATGTTTTATCTATAATCAATTCCTTATCATTCGCAACAGTCGTCGGTATTGAGATTTATCACTAAGTGTCGACGTGGATACAGTTACGTAAACGGCGTTTTAACTGTCGAACACCGTGAGACGTTGTATGGCATCTCTTATATCAATGTATACAATAAGAACTAAACTACTTCTTTAGGAAGACGTCTTACTTTCGCGGTATATCGATTCATATGACGGATGAATCAACCACGTCTCTAATGCCTGATTGTTCAGTCCTCTTTTTTATTTTATTTCATTGCGCAATAACGCCATGTTACATGTCTAGAGCATTATACAGTAGGCTAGAACCCAACGCTGCGCCTTCCTACAGTATTTAAGTACTGTAGCAGTCGAGCACTTGAACCACTAGACGAACGCGGTGGATAATCATGATCTTTGTATAGTACACTACCTACAGTTGTGGCTTGGTTGTTGCCTTCACACCTCGCAATAAACAACAGAAAGTATAGATTGGTCGCAAGCTTCGCAAAATATAATGTAAAGCTATTAGCTTAAAGCACTTGCCAAATGTTCTCACTTTTCCAAAAGTTATTAGCCAGTAATAGTACATGGGGTTTTACGCGTCAGAACCACGGTATAACTCTGGTGTAAGCTGTAGTGGAGGACTCCGGAAATCGGAACCACATCATGATATTTAACACGCAGTGACATCACACGTTACGTGGGCTCCTAACATTCTGCTCCATCCAACTGCGACGATCGCGGCTGGGATTGATTCCGCGAACTTCGGTACAGCCCCCGAATACCGTAACCAGTACGCCACCGCGGTAGACAAGTTACTAGCTGTTGCCGATCAACAGTTTTAAGTTATCATTGTAGCAAACACGTTAACGGTTAAGCATTACCACAGCTGTGTCCTCGTTCTCTCGCTCGTTTGTTGTGTGTGTTTTTTTTGCGCTGCACTACATCATGATCGAATTAATTACCCTAATTAATTATGTTTGGGGTATGGTGCAGCGAGATAGAGCACCGGCACAATACTGCATGTGGAATAGCACAGAGGTCGCCGCCTTATGCAGGCTTACGTCGCGCTATGCATGATTTTTTATTTTAAGAACCTGCTCGTGCTTACTTAACAAACAAACAAAATAAAGGACACTACATACAATTAGCAAAAAAGAAACCGGGCGGGGCAATTGCCTGCAAATTATACAAGGCTACATTCGCCGGCTTCCTACATCTTAATCTTAATCCTAATGTTTCGCTTTCTTATTGTGTGTGTTGGGACAGGTCCGACAAAGATTCTGGCCATGATACTGGGAGTTTTCCTCGGTGGTCTGATTATTAGGTTCTGGAAACCTAAGGCCCGCACCATAGCCCTCATGGAGGCAGCCAGTGACTTGATAGAAATTAGTTTTCTCGTCGCTGGTATGTCCCTCTCCTGCTCTGGTTGGCAGCTCGCAGGAACCAGCATGAGCACGTCCAACAGGTACGTAACCGGCATGGGAACATGGCTATATCACGTTGTTCAACTCGCTATTGGCAATATTCAAATGTTCATTTCGGCACTGGTCACATACAAGTTACTCTTGATATAACGTGCAGCGTTCGGAAAGTTAGTTGTAAACAGTGCGCTTCGATTAATGGTTGCGCCAACAGGCACGGAAACAAACCCTTCCTCGGAGCGTGTTGCACACAATACGTTAGCACAGGCACACACGCTCCATACAGCCACGCTGCAAGTTTATTCTTTATGTCAATACTTTTGTGGCTTAGCTATCACAGCAAAACTTCACAAAAAAAAGGAAATAAAAAAAGGAGGGGAGGCAGCTACGTTCAGTGGTGCGAAGAGTGAGGAAGCAGCTAACAAAGAAGCTCGTGCTGTACTCCTTCTTGCCGTCCTCCTCATACTAACCTCCCTTTCCCATCCATCGATTTCCTTACTATACAATACTATGCCATGTCCTACCCTCGCACTCACTTCTTTGTCCTTCCCATTCTTGCTATACTGCACTATACTATAGTATATTATAGTATACCATATTAGAGTGGCTCTGATAGTATACTATAGTATACGTAGTTCTGCTTCCTTTTCTTTTTCTATCTTTTTTGTGTGTGTTCTTTATCTCTTTCTTTCTCGGTCTTTCTATCTTTCCCCCCTTTCTTCATTCCTTTCGTTCTTTACCTAGATTTTTCTCTTTATGCCTCTCTCTGTCTCTCTCTCTCCCCCCCTCTCTCTACACTCGTGCTATCAGCTTCAATTTTTCTCTCTTTATTTCTTTCTCTCTCTACTTATGCGTTCCTCTTTCTTCCGATCTCTCGCTCTTTGTATTCATTCTCTCACTCATCAGAGCTATCGCGTCTCATGCCGGACAAATGGGCATACGTGTCCTGGGAGCAAAGCAGAAGACGATGATGAGGAACGAAGCTGAAGAAGAGGATGGATAGAGCGCGTTCCGGATAATGATAATTTTTAAGTTACATCACGTGGCAAAACAAAAACAAACAAACTTGGCAGTTTCACTGTAATAACACTCATACTAATAACACACAATTCACTAACTGTCGGCTAACACATCAGTATAGATGAAACGTTTCAGCAACTTACCTTCCGGGCGCGCGTTCCATTTTATGTTGCAATTTGGTATTCTGACCGGTTAGCGTTAGCAGGGACGCTCTACCAAGAGAAAAAAAAAATAGTCGTAGTTTACGATGGCCTTGCCTTGTTTACTTGCATAAACCAGCGCTATTGCTTGATGTTGACTAATATGAACCTTACGTGTTATCGAAGATACCACGACTTTATTAAAGGCATAGTGCTTACAATTTTATCTCGCGCTTACCACATGATCATCAGTGAATTTACGTCTCGACCTTCAACGTACAAAAACGCATCAATCTTATCGTTGATCAGATGATCAATCACTCTCTAACTACTCAAAGCATCCTGCGTACAATTTCACCACATGCGCATGCTGTAGTCAGCGTTAAGCGTACGCGAAGTACACGTTCCGTGAGAGGAGAAGCAAGCCTTCATGTATAGGCTTTGTTCAGGTATGTCATACCTAAACGAAAAAACGTTTGTACCTGATAGCTTGCTCAAAACGGCTATGGACTCTGGGCTCTGTTATTTTGTTAGTAGCCCGTGGTTCCGAGAAATACACTCAAACCTCATTACGACAAAGTCGCATCTTACACGAAAATAACTTCATTACATCCAAAAAAATTCATTTTAAAGGTGTATTTTATAACACCATATTTATTGCGAGATTAGTCTGAATGTACTTCGTTATAACGAATGTTTCTTTATATCAGGGTTTGTTGTATTGAGCTTTCAGCGTAAATACTAGTTTGACAGACGCTGCACCCCGTAAATATTTTACGGTGTTTGTAGGATGCGCAAGTCTACTCTTTGAGTAAGACAGAGCTTAGCGAGTTCGCAAGTATTCATTTTAATAGACATGACGTGCAAAACCAGACACACGGTGTTTGTGGTGTCTTGACTTCTATCTTGCGTCTGTGTTGACTGGCCCCGTCTTCATTCGTTGATCCTGCGTGCTTGGTGAGGCATAGACGGACCATGATCGCTGATTGCATGTCTCTGTTCACTAAGTGATGCTTAAGAAGGCGTCAATTGAGTATTTGACTATAATTGAGTGCAACATGCTCGATCCGTGCTGTATTTCAGTCTGTCCATAACCAACGAATGCAACAAGGATTGTGGCTGCACGGGCAGCTCTTTTCAGCCGGTGTGCCACGTCTTAGAAAACGCGACGTACTTCTCACCGTGCGCAGCTGGCTGCACTGAAAACGTAAATGTGAGTAATCACACAAAGTTTTTACCACTCTACTACACGATTCGATGTCTAGAACGTTTTGAAGGGCACTATTCTAGAGTACATCTAGAGTACAGCTGCATAACCGCTTTTCAATTATTTGTGATCATAATGCCGTTGTGGTCACTTTCAATGCATGCAAAAACATGCCTATGTGCTTTTGTTCAAAACCGGGCATATTTTCGCGGCGAAAAATAAGTAAGTGATATTTTTTTTTCGAAATTCTCTCTCGTGTTTGAGTGACAAACTTTTTTTATTTTCGTTCTAACATTTTCAAGAATAAAAACATTTATAAGTTTCCTTTTTCTTTTTGGCCTAATTTGTGACGAGTATTTATTTGCTTGTTTACCCGGTATCACCTGGCTACACTGGAGCTGCCATTTCCCGCGCATATAACTTTGAAACGCACGAGTGGCAAATTTATTTTCATCTGTGCACACGCCCCGACGTTTGCGCCACTCAAAAAACATAGCCTCGTTGACCGTAGGAAGGACCCTGCAATCTAGGAGGAGATGAAAATTATTGTGGGCACACATAAGCCACTTGGCAATATGTCACAAAGCTGGATAATGGATGCATGATTGTACAACATCTCGAGATCTGTGTCGCAATCGCAAGCCAACAGTGAGACAGCGATGAAAATGTTCCTTCCTTTATCACCACCCCCCACCCTTCTTCTCCCTCGTTATTCCAATGCTATACGAGCCATTGCTAGCCGTTTTTCGAGGAAACTGCTGTCACGTTAAGAGGAGCAAAATGAAGAGGGCTAACATGCGAAATGTGGAGACCACCTATTGTGATCGAGTGGTTCGGCTACTCAAATAGCTTGTCTGATAAGCACGTGCCGCGATAAGTCAAGTAGGAGCTGGGCAATCAGGCTCAATGACTTGAAGAAAGGCTGCCACTGTCGACAGAAGTATGTCGACGCTCGTCAACTTCATTTTTTTTTTGTTATTCTGAGACCACGCTCTTTCGCGGCTTCTCATACACGCCAAGCAATACAGTTGACTTGTGCCCCACGACGTCGTGACTAAGCGTTTTTTTTTTCATTTTCTTCGATGACAGTATACGCAAAGTAGCCATGGGACAGAGACGTCAGATCCAACGGTGCTTCTGATACCTAACAATAACGACTTGATATTGTCGTTCATAGTATTATAGGACGTCTGATAGCCTTTGTGGCACCGTTGGCTGACGTCTCTCCCCAATCCCATATCTCTCCCCCCTCAACAAAAAAAAAAAGCTGACGTTTCTTGCAAATCACCCCCCCCCCCCCCCCCCATTTTATGCCTCTCTCAGTATCATATTGCGGTTTCGGGACGAGAAACCACGAGAATTTTTTCCAGTACAGTCTGCTTTGCACAGGGAACAATGCACTGCAGCTGTCTGATGGGCAACAGCACCTCTGAAGAAGCCGTGGTGACGGACGGCTTCTGTGAATTCGGATGTGACAGCCTTTTCATCCTCGTTGCACTGACGAGCGTGAGCAAACTCCTGGCGCAGCTTCCTCGGGTCGGAGGAATAATCGTCACTTTGAGGTCAGAGTGCGCGTTCTCATAATCTTGATGGGATCTGAAAACTTTGTTGTGAGTGACAATTTGGAACGTCTACCAACTAGCACTACAAGTGTTGTGAGGCAACACTTGTAGTGCTAGTTGGTAGACGTTCGTGCAGCATGATGAGCACCGAAGGCTCTGGCAATATAAGGGGATGGGACAGTTCTCACCCTTACAATTGATTCTTTCTTATTAATTAATAAACAAGACATTGCAACAGAAACACGAAACTTCAGACAATTGCAACAGGGCAGAACACGCACACACAAAAACAAAGCATTCATGTCAGGATTACCACACTTTTATACGTTACATATAATACAATCACCTCGTATCTAGAAACGTGTGCTCGTCATGCAGCAATGTCCTGGCTTAAGTAGCATAAGCTGTTTAGTTTGACGAGATGCTGGCGCTCAGCATTCCTTAATATAAGAACACTGCGGCTTACGATCGCACTATCAGTATAGAGCTTCGGAACGAAGGCTGTGTTAACGCTCTGATATGTTTGAATGCGCAGCTGAAATGCTTATGCCATATGATAATTTAAGAGCCTTAGACAGATCATATTATCATGTAAACTGACATTCAGCTCAAACACGCAGTGAGCTTTTGACGAAAATTCATGGAATCAGCTGTTAAATTTATCGTTGGCAGTGAAAACAGTAGTTAATATGTGGCTGACTGGCATTGCTTTCCTTTCCAGATGTGTTGATCATGCGGACAAAGGCCTTGCAGTGGGGATGATGGGAGCAGCATTTAACCTCTTAGGTCGGTACGCTTTCATTACGTCCTGTCACTTGTAATTCGGATTCACAAAACTTCGCTAAGAATGTCTGTGGGGAAAAAAGTCAATCAGTCCTGATGGGCGACATATCACAAGCAAAGCCTGCTGGCCAGTTATAGAAAACAATAACGAAACAAATTTTGTGCGTACAGTGCCCGGGCCCGCATTCACAAGAAGTCTCACTTAAAGCTAGTAAGAAGAAAAAAAACGTGCCAATATCGACAGCGGAAATTCCAATAAGTTATATGACAATCCAGTCGGAAACTACTCGCGTGAATAAAAATCTTTGTCCGTTCAGGCCCTGGTGTTTACGTTCTCAGTACTACCTTGATAACGTGATCTCAAGTCCACATCCGTTACATGCATCCTGCTATCTATCTACAAAGAACACGTAGTGTTCTTTAAAAATCAATTAAATATGCCACTGTGGTCTAGTGCATGGTCATGGCGCTGTACTGCTCACCCGAAGTTCACAAGATCGAATCCCACAAACCAGATTTCTGAAACCCTACATACGGTGTTCCTCATCATAATATCGTGGTTTTTGGTACGCATAATCTCAACAATTTTTATTGTGATTGTGCATTTGGCTTAACTACCAGTACTTCATACGATTTTCCGTGTCAGTAAAATGGTCACTATAGTGACACATTTTGTCACCTTTCATCGTACGACACATCACCTTTCGTTATGCCATGATATGCCTATTGAGTCTGTACCGATTCATCTTCTTCCCTTCTGCCATCCTCTGTCCATTTAGAACGTCACAAGCTTGCGCTTACTGATTTTGTGTATCTCATTAACTCAACCCCGAACTAGTGTGTTTTGGGAATGATATTCTTATAGTACAATACGCCACCGACGCACTTGCCCCGCCACGGTGGTATGATGAGTATTACACACATTTGCCTAGTCTTCGTACTTGCGGGCGGCGAATCATACTTGCGGCTTCGTTTATTGCTGGTTACGGTTTTGTTTTGAAAGAAAGAACAAACCCTTTTAAACTTAGCGACTTAATTCGAAACGGCAAGTAAAAAAAATAAGGTTGTGAAGCGCAAACGGTGAAAATTTGCTAATTTATGTTTTCGTGAGAAAACAGCTCCAAGCCAAACGAACGCACACGGAGCCAGAAGCAGGCCATAAGTACAAAAATTACACAAATGTGTGTACTACCCATCATTCCCATGCTCGCTGAAGCGCCGTGCGTTGCATAGAGCGCCAGAGTTCCCTCTCGTGTACATTGGGAAACTCTATGTTGGGAATGATATTCCTCTAGTACGATACGCCACCAACGCACTTAAAAGTCACTCTATTTGAACTGCGCAGGCGCCGTGCCGTACCCGCTCATCTATTCCGCGCTGTTCGACGCCACCTGCATTGCGTGGGACGAGCGAGGCGGTCACCGTGGAAGCTGTTCGTTCTACGACGCGGACAAGCTGCGCGTACTCTTCCACGGCGTGACCATAGCGTTCCTCAGCCTGGGCCTCGTCAGCAACCTGATCGTGTCCTACTACAGCAAACGCGTCACCAACCTGTACGGCGAGGCGGACGCGCGGGCCGAGGAGACGGCGGCAGCGGCGTCCACCTGGGAGGACGACTGCCTGCGCATGGTCGAGCTGGACGAAGACGCGATGCGCAAGATGACGGCCGAGGGAGAGAAACCGACGCAGCAGCAAGTGCGCTGCTGACGGGAAGTTGTTTCTCGTTCGTCAAGAAATCACATAGTCGGTTGTAATTTAAGAATAAATATTAAACTCCGCCTACACCTTTCGCCGAGATGGTATTTTATAGTGCAAGCGATGTAAAGCAGCACTTGTGCATCTCCGGTCGGCAATTTTCTCATACATGCACATGTTCTCGTTGCTGGTTCTGAATATAGATAAAGCAGAACTTGCTTGCATATGTCACCAAAGATTCAAGCTTCAGTACTCGGAGAACTATAATATTTTTTGTGGGGACGAAGAACTTCCAGCTGATATCATGCACAGTGTCCACATCAGCAGTGGCAAAGAACTAACGGTTACGACAAAAAGCCAATAGAAACGAGTCTTTTGCACGGGTGTAGAGTGCTTCGATGTGGGGCGCCCTAAAGTTCATAGATAAAAAATTGGCCGCGTGTCTCCGTGCTTTGCTGCAAAGGACGTCGAAAGACGATAGTCTTCTGTCTAGAGGCGTTGCTGGAGGTATGGTGCCATGTGGCAGTAATGTAAAAAAACGAAATATTTTTCTATAACGCAGAAACACTGGTAAGGGACAGCGTTGGGTCGTTTTTTTTTTTTTTTTTAGCGAAGCGTAGGAAACAGCCATTTTTTTTCTTTCATAACGTCACATTGTCAGCGCAGTGCAATAAAGACTTCATACTTAACAATTACGTATGCGTGCATTTTTTTTTCAATAAAATACGCTTTGCTTATTGATGTTACGCCTCAAACATGCGTTGAAGTTCCCAAGAAGAAGTATCATTTTCAAAACTTATTTTATCTAGTGACCTTAAGGTGCCCTACACAGGTGCGCTACAATGCGCCCCAGTTCTGGGGGTGGCACTTGTACTTATTCTTAGGTTGTAATCGACTATAAGAATAAACACAAGCTCCACCCACTCACATCACTGTACCACCATGACAGAACTTGCATGCACGTTCTATTCACTCAGACTTGTTAATTTCCCTGACGTCAAGCATTTTTCAACACGTTCCAGATATTTAAATTGGTCGTGAAAAGAAAGTGAAGCGGCCCTGTTGTAATTTTCTCTTCTTCAATAAGGATTAAACATGCTGATTCCGAAATATCTAGGTGCAATAGTCAGTCTGAAATTAATGTGAGCTACTTGAAATCGCAGTTTTCTTGGGCTGCTAAACGACCCTGTGGCACTACCAGCCACCTAGGCAGTAACGTTTGTGGTTAGTGTGACGTAATGCTTAAAGAAGTTATACGAGCAGCGTTAGCTTTTTTTCTTTGCTCTATAATTATAGATTCAAGGACCATTTGAAAAAATTAAAAAGAAGCACAACTGTTTTTGTGCTCTGACTTGTATAATGCGCAAGAACAGCAAGTTCGAGTGCATCCGGACTTCGTCACGTGTGCATTATTGCCTTCGCAGCTGGTTTCGCTGCTTTTGTGCAGTATCTCAGTTTTGTTTTTCTTACTGGTTACGTTCGGTTATGTTTTAAGGTTTTTTGTTTTGGGTGGCTTGGTCTCTGTTACGCCAACCATGTTCGTCATCACTCATCAGACAGTGCCACACAACTTCCGAATGTGGATAGGAAACGTATTAACGACGACGCCTTCGAAACATTATGATGCTACGAATCTTAGTCAACTACGACCCATCGAATATCTCTGCATTGTCATGTTTTGTTGACTAGAGAGAGTTTTTATTGGCAGACGTAATGTGACGTCAGCTATACAGTTAAGGAGAATAGGAGCCGAGGAATAGTTTTTAGAACAAATTCGACGATTTAAAGTACAGTGTACTCTATGGGAGAACTTTGAGCTGTCCAAGAGTTGACAAAAAAGCATTTAACAATATGATACTTGGTACATTACTATGGAAGAGCACTCCATCAAAAATAGGTACCGCGTTTTCGAAGAAAGGTTAACGATTTAGGTTACTAGGTACTCTACTATGGGAGAGCATAAAGCCGTCCCTTCACATCAGATATGACTAAGGCTTGCCTCTCAAGCACGCGAACGAAGAAACAGGCATAGCGCACATAGCGGGCATAAAATCAACGGCAACACTTTTGAAACTAGAGTAACTAATTACCTTGGTTGATGCCCATGCGGCATCAATAATGAAATTTTGGGGCGGTAGACCAGCATTCGCTATGCTATTTTTCGTCATTCTTCTGAGAAACGTGGTATCCGCTAAACTATTGAGAGGAATTTTGTGCCAATTGTCCATGCAGTGGCTGACGACGATGAGAAATTATGCCTGAAGTGGGTATGCGCCACAGTTAATAGCTGAACAAAAAACAAGCTTTTGTAATGGGTTGGAGCATTGGACGGCCCAATTGTTACGTTATTTGCATTGTGCGACGACAGCTTGTTCTTTCGCTGTATTAAAGCGCTTTATAAGTCGTATTAACGCGATTGCTTTCCCTACATCAAGCCTGCCTAAAGAAAGTTTGCCAACAAGTCCCAATCATTGGCGTGCTCAGTGTTAGAATAGTGGGTGGCACCCAGCGGACCCGGGTTTGAGCCCCGCTAATTAAGTTTTTTTTTCTAATTTCGCGCGATGTACTTACGGACACCGGCGGCGGCAGCGGACAACTTCGGCGCTGTGCGAGACCTGAGTTGTGATCTCATAACAGCTTTCACAGTAAAATGACGTCTAACATTGTGGCAATATGGAAAGTATTTCACTGTCCCTGCAGAAAATCTGGGTGTACGACTACCATGCGTATTGCAGGTGGACGATAAAAGTTTTCTCGGGGTGTTCCACGTCTCAGTACAGCTCAGCGGAAGAAGTCAATAATAATAATAATCTTAATAATAATAATAATAATAATAATAATAATAATAATAATAATAATAATAATAATAATAATAATAATAATAATAATAATAATAATAATCGAATACCTCTTGCAACGTGGAATTAATTGGCTGCTAATGAATAAAGGAGTGGATTTAAAGCTAAAAATGAACACCGAAACCAGTGATATGATGATGGTGGTGAACAATTGTTTATTTTTTATGCGATAGGAACAAAACATGCGTGTAAAAAATTTCAGAGCCCTGAGGATAATAAACATTGAGTTACGAAGATAGCCCCCACAACAAACGATGTCTATATCTTGACCGTGATAAAGTAAATTGTTGCTAACTCTACAGTACCGAAAAAAAAGGTGTTTATAGACACGTAGGTGTAACTTCGAGTGCTATGACATAAAACTTTGCCATCCTGTTTATTTCAAAGCGATAGCCTTAGATGTCCCATCAAACGCCAATAGTGACCGTCGATGCTGTAACGGTGAGAGTGAGAGACATAGAGAGCGATTAAAACAATCATCATCACGTGATGGTGTCACAGGCCAATGACGTCAGGCCAAGTGATGTCGCATCATGAATGTCATCACATGACATCGTCGCCTGGTCAGAGGTAGGCACCACCACGGAGGCAATGCAAGGCACGCGAGGCGCAAATGGCGTCGGATTCCTCCGATCTTGGAGGCCAAGCAAAATCATGTAGGATCTGGAAGCATGCCAAGCGGCATCACCGCTACATCACATTGCATAGCTTACTGTGACACGATTTTCTTATCTATCGACACGAGTCGAGGAGCACGCTGAAGTGGCACATGGAGTGATCTCTAGATGGGACGAGCTCGTAAATCGAAAGCAGAACACCGAGAGACGAGGGTACCGGCTGAGCCTTTGATTGTTCCGCTTCTGCTTGCTTATCTTGCGGTGGCTTGTAACAAAGCGTTAAACATGCCCATGCTCTGCGAACAAGAGTCTTGCTCAGGAGTGGCTTCAGATTTCTATGCCCACAAAAAATGTTGCGCTTGTACTATATAAACTGGTTCTCTCCGGCAGCTACAGGTGGCCAGCGCCCGAACTGTCGGTGGGCGGCTATGTTCCTTTCCGTGTAAAACAGGTCGCTGTGTGCCTTGTGGATGTAGAAGTTTCATTAAGCACAATCAGTGCCAAAAGTATATAGAATAAATAATAATACAGGCTAGATATTAGTGACTAGAGGGACTAGAGAATCTAGAGACTAGAGAACTTCGCAGCAATCAACGGGCTGCATTTGGTTAAAACTGCACCGCACATGTTGTCAGGACGTCTTAGAGCATGGCGGAAATCTAGCTTCAAGGCTTCCTGCAAAAGCAGCAAACATATACGGCTTATTCTTGTGTCTCGTGCTCCTGAAACTTTAGACTCTGACTATACATCGATGATCTGTTCAATGCGTACACGACATTCTTACGCGGTGAGTTTTTGCGGTGTTATGGTATCACGCGAGAAGCCCGGCAGCGTTGGCGGAGCCTGAAAGTTCTGACCACTAATGAGGGATTAATGACAAAGAAGATTCAGAGGCGCGAACAAGTCGCGTTCCGCAGGACCCAATATTAAGTTGGTTTCAATTTCATTCCATTTCGGCTATAATTTAATTGTTTCCCAGCCTAATCGTCTATAAACATTGTGTGAAGTGCTATTATGGGATGTCTCATTTTCGTGTACTTTGTAGCACAGTATAACAGAGAAAGTGCCGCTCTCATGACACCGAAATATTTTGACTGATCACGAAGCGCAAAATACATACGCGGAAGAAAAAAAAATTGTGCATTATCACTTTACGTTGTACCGATCCAAACGTCAGCCTTTGAAACTTAAGTGCCGTTGACACTGCAGCTGTGTGTGAAAATCATAACAGCATGTCTTATTGAAATAGAAAGAACGTAAGTGTATAAAAAAAATCATGTTTCGAAAACGCCTCCATTATACAAAGAAAAGCCTATTTGAGTTGAAAAATATGTTGTTTAGAATATTTGTTGGGTGTGACATAAAACATGATTATAATGACAAAATAAAAAGTTGGTGCACCTGGTCGGGTGAAGTTATTGTTAGCGTTTGAGTGTGAAAAATAATGTTACATAATTTCTAAAAGCACACGGATACTCACTGACAGGAACAATTTATGCGCAGTCTACGCTCCTAATGAGGTCCG